ATAAACTGTTACAGAAAATAGAAAAAAGGGTTATTTCCAAATGCATTTTATGAGGGTAATACAACCCTGATACCAAATGTGGACAAAGGCAGTGCAAGAAAAGGAAATTATAAGCCCAAATCACAAGCATGATACTAAAATAAAAGAAGCGCTCATAAATTGCGTGAAGCAGTGTATTTAAGAAATAATAGTACATTTGGCAAAACCAGGTATATCTCAGAGAATGCAAGGATAGGTCCATATTTGAAAAAGCTATCGGTGACCCACTACATTAACATAACAAAGACAAAACCTATAATCATCTTAGTAGTTTTAGAAAAAGCCATTTAATAAAATTTAGTATTCATTGCATGGTTTTAAAATATTCCTACTTTAAACTCAGCTGGGATAGAAGGGAACTCCTTCACCAGATAAAGGGTTTCTATTAAAAACTTACAACAACAAATATCATGAATAATAATGGCACATTAGAAATATTCTCAATGAGGGAAGCCTGGGTGGCTCAGTCGGTTAAGCACCTGCCTTCGGCTCAGGTCATGATCCCAGGGTTCTGCAAACAGGTCCCACAACAGGCTCCTTGCTCAGCGGGGAGCCTGCTTTTCCCTCTGCCTGCCACTCCCCTTGCTTGTGCTATCTCTGACAAATAAATAAATACAGTCTTTAAAAAAAAAAAGAAATATTCTTGATGAGATAGAAACAGGAAAACAATCTTGCTCTCACCCTTACTATCTGATGTTATATTGGAGGTCCTAGCCCATCCAATGAGATAAGGGGACCGGTATTAAGAGCGTGATTTACAGATGATATGATTAGCTATATAAAAATACAAGAGAATATGCAAATAAACCATTTAACTAATAAGGATAAGGAAGTTCAGCTAAACAAGATTATTCCAAAATCAATATTTTCAAACAGCATCAATAACCAACTAAAAAATTTAAAAAGGATCCCACTTATAATAGCAACAAAAGCTGTAAGATACCTAGGAATAAATCTAACAGAGGTGCAAGAACTTTTATAAATAAACTATGAAATGTTATTGAAGGATATGAAGAAACCAGAGTGATATTAATGTATTAGATGACTCAATTTTATAAAGATATCGTATCTCCCAAAATTTAAATTGTGCATGTATAAATTTAACTTAGCAAAATACCAAAAAAAGGTTTTTCTTTTTTTTTTTTTTTAAGATTTTATTCTTTTGACAGAGACAAAGCGAGAGAAGGAACACAAGGAGGGGGAGTAGGAGAGGGAGAAGCAGGCTTCCCGCTGAGCAGGGAGCCCAATGTGGGGCTCGATCCCAGGACCCTGGGATCATGACCTGAGCCGAAGGCAGATGCTTAACGACTGAGCCACCCAGGCGCCCCCAAAAAAGGTTTTTCAATAGAAGTTGACAAACTGATGCTAAAGTTAGTATGGAAGAATAGAAATCCCAAAATAGCCAGTACAGTTTAAAAAATGAACAAAATGGGGGGGGCCCTCCTAGACATGAAGACTTACTATAAAGCCATAATAATTAAAACAGTGTGGTATTGGCTCAGAATGGGTTTGATCAATGGAAAAGGACAAAGTAGGAACATATCCATGAATACATGAAATTTAATTTTCATCATGGTGGCATTACACATTAATGGGGGAATTAAAGACTGTCCAGTAAAGCAGGTCAGGACAACAGGTTTTCCATATTGGGGAAGGGGGAGAGTAAAATTAAATTTCTAATTTATACTATTCAAAAAATAAGTCCCAGGGAATTTATTTTATGTGTCGAGAGCAAAACTTCAAAACGTTAAGAAAAAAAAAAAAGGCTATCTTCATGGTATCAGGAATGGAGAGAGTTCTTCTATAACACACAAATGATACAAACTATAAAGAGATCAAGGAATATGACCACATTTTACATTTTCTATAGTATAAAAGACATCAAAAGCCGTCAGAAGAGAAGCCACAGACTGAGACAATATGATGTGTATATGGATGCACTCCTATAAAACAAGAAGGAAAAAAATGAAAACATACACAGCCCATTGGAAAATGGATGAGGTCTGTAAAAAATCAAATCACAGACTTGAAATCTTAATAGCCAATCAATATATGAAGAAGTGCTCAACCTCATTAGTAGTGAGGGAAATGCAAATAAAACAGGAAGATACTGGGGTTTGAAAAAGTCAAATTGTCAGAAATGAGAAAATTTTGAATCTAGAAAGTGGTGAAGTTCATGTGAGGGAGACAACTCTCATCCACTACTGGTGGATGTGTAAATTGAAGAACCATTTGGCACTCTCTAATAAGACTGAACATGTGCATGTAGCCTAGCAATTCCCCATCTAGGTAGATTCAGAGAGAAATTCTCACATATATGCAAGGGACACATGTACACGCATGTTCCTATTAGCATTGCCCCAAATATTGGCAGCAGCTTAAATATTCATCAATAGGGCAATGAATAAACAAGGCACATTTATATGCATGGATCTACAATATAGCAATTAAAATGAATGAACTGATTTATATTTATCAACATGGAGAGAAAGAATACAAACATACCAAGAAGGGAAAAAAAAACAAGTCAGAATATGTACAGCCTAACACCACACATATACATTTTAAAAATCAAATAAAACAATATTCTGTATTTTTATGGGTTCGTGTATAGTAAAAGCATAAAACCTAGATGGGAAAGTTACATACTAAATTCATGATAGTGTTTGCCTTTGGAGAAAAAGGTGAAGAATGGATTTGGGGAGGAGTACAAAGGGACTTCAATTTTATCAGAAATCTTGAATAGTTCAATTAAAAAAAAAAACCTGCAGCAGATCTGGCAAAATGTTAACATTCACCAATTATATGATAGGTACGTGGATGCTTGTGATATTGTCTGTGCATTTTTAAATATCTTTACCTTTTTTCCCACATAATAAAATTAAAAGCAGCTAGTAAAGAATTCTCTGATAGAAATTTCACCTGTGTAGATAAATTGAGTCAATTGTTTAAAATTCTGAGGCAAGGAACTTTATAATTACCTGTCTTAGAATGGAATCTCCATAAAAATAATATAGCTGGTAATATTAATAAAACTACTGAAAGGAATAAAGCAGATTCTATAGGTATCAACATGGATAGTTGTCAAAATCATATTGAGAAAAAGTAAGTTGCAAAATGACATGTACACTAGTGTACTATTTATAAAGAAAATTTAAAATACTGAAGCATGGGTATACATATTTACATATAAATATATAAGCAATTAGGTAATAAAGGTATAATAATAAATGCTGGAAGAATACACTATAATACTGATTACCTAGGGAAGTAAGGAGGGAGAAAGTTGAATTAGGGAGGGAAGTAAAGTGACATTTAGCTCTATCTGCAATCTTTTAATATAATTTTAAAAAAACCCTGAAGCAAACATGACAAATATTTTACATTTGATTATTCTAGGAAGTAAACACATGAATGTATGTTATTCTTGATGTATATGTATTTTTAATTTCAAAAGAAAAAGTACTGAAGAATTACAAAGAAAATGCACATAATTCAACACTATATAAAGTACAGCTTGTGTACATCAAAAACTGTGCTATGACTATTTTTAGAAATTATCCTGTTTGCTTTTCTATGTGTTTTTAATTTTTCAAAAATCAAAGGAAAAAAAGCAATGAAGAAATGCAAAAAAAAAAAAAAATCAAACCCATACCGAATCACATAAAAAGAAAACCCTGCACAAATCACAATGAGCAATTCTATATCATTTGCTGCATTTTCTTATTTTTACTTTTTGTCAAAAGAAAAATAAAAGATGTTGCCTAATTGGAAACGTGACTTTCTATTATTAAAATTGTGGGAGTCCATTTTAATGTGTTTATCTCGCTGCTAGTCTATAATTTATATTTCAGCGTGGAAATTTGTTTGTATGCCTGTGACAGGTTAATGCAGTTTAAACATGCATTTTTCTTTCGTTGGTTGAATAGTTAAATCGTTACTCAAAGGATTTTAAGTTTCAATTTCAACCATGAGAGGATTCTTTGCTTTTTCAAGGTTAGAAATGTTTCTGGTTCAAAATGCTATTAATTAATGGCTACGTAGTGGATCTATTTAGGGAATTGGTACCGATTCCGGATTAACAGTGGAACTGCTAAATGAGAAAACTTTTTTTGATGCACACTTGGGGATATTTTAAATTCGGTCTGACAGCGGTGGACAGAAATGAAATGTAATTCCAGCCCGCTTAACAATCGTAATTATGAATCGAAAGACATATCAGGTATTAGCATTTTTTTTTTTCGCTTAAAAAAAAAGTTTCTCGGACTCCGCCGGACACCCAGCTGGCGGACGACCAGCGGGCGCGGCGGGGG